CACCTATCACCCCTCTTCTCCGTTCCATTCCTCCCATGCCCACCATATCCCCCATTCATATCGAAAGCTCAGTTGCCTGTCCATCTGGGTCGGCATCCTTGCTGCTTTTCTCACCGGCCTGTCCCTCACTACCAACCTCGCCTGGTGGGTGCCTTGCAAACTGCACAGGTGACTTTCGAATTAACCCACCTGATAGCCCCATAGTTCCACCCATTGTATCCCCAATTCCCCCCCGATGCTAGCCCCATGTGTCCCCCTCTACAGGCCAAAAGTTTCCACCTGCACGCCCCATTTTTTTTTTTAAGCTAGCCCCATGTTTCGCCCCTGTTTGCCCCATATTTCCCCACTGCTAGCCCCATGGTTCCCCCCTGCTAGCCCCATGTTTCGCCACTGTTTGCCCCATGTTTCCCCACTGCTAGCCCCATGTTTCCCCCTGCTAGCCCCATGTGTCCCCCCTGCTAGCCCCATGTGTCCCCCCTGCAGTTCGAAAGTTTCCACCTGCAGGCCCCATGTTTCCCGCTGCAGGCCCCACGTTTTCCCCTGCAGGCCCCACGTTCCCCCCCTACGCTCAAGCTCATATTTCCACCCTGATAGCCCCACAGTTCCCCCCATTCTAGCCCAATCTTTTCCCAATGTTAGCCCCATGTTACCCCCCTTCTAGCCCCATGTTACTATCCCCACGTTTCCCCCCTGCCAGCCCCTAATTACCCCGTAAAAGCCCCATATTTCCTCTCAGGGCTGCCCCATTTTCCCCCAAGGGTTTACCCAATTTCCCCCAGGGCTGCTCCATTTCCCCCCCAGGGCTGCCCCATTTTCCCCCCCATGCTAGCCCCATGTTCCCCCCCTACTGCAGGCCCTACGTTTCCCCATGCCAGACCCATTTCTCCCCCTTGATAGCCCCATATTCTCCCCGTGATAGTCGGTTGTTTCCTCGCTGCCAGCCCCATGTGTTCCCCCATGCTTGGCCCAGGTTTATACAAGGTGCTAGCCCCATGTTTAGAAGGAGAGTTGTCAATGCATCGCTGTTCCCAGCAGCGTGTGGAGCGCTCAACAACGAAGGAACCTCACAGCCCTCACACTCTTACTCGCCTTCCCTTGTCACATCCTCTTCTCCCTCCCTCCCCTCAGCCTTCCCAGTGAGGGTGGTCAGTGCATGAAAGCTCCCGGCACCGTGTGGACCGCTCAGCAACAAAGCAGCCCCACAGCTCTCACAGGAGGGCTGTTTCCTCCCATGGTATCCCCATGTTTCCCCCTTGCTAGCCCCATGTTTCCCCCATGTTAGCCCCATGTTTCCCCCATGCTAGCCCCATGTTTCCCCCATGCTAGCCCCATGTTTCCCCCATGCTAGCCACATGTTTCCCCCATGCTTCCCCATGTTTCCCCCATGCTAGCCCCATGTTTCCCCCATGCTAGCCCCATGTTCCCCTCATGCTAGCCCCATGTTCCCCTCATGCTAGCCCCATGTTTCCCCCATGCTAGCCACATGTTTCCCCCATGGTAGCCCCATGTTTCCCCCCTGCGAGCCCCAAGTTTTCCCTCGATTTGCGCCGTATTTCGGTGCAAGCTAGCTTGCATACGCATTCCTAAGGCACAACTCCCTCGCATAAGGCGCCATGTCCGCCAAGGCAAAGAGGTCAAAACCAACCATTTTGTAGGAGGTGAGACAGCCGTGTTCCTCCCTACCCTGCCCTGCCATCTCACTCCTGCCCTTCCTCCCTCCCATTCCCACGCCAACATTCACTACCTGCTACGCTCTTTCCTTCAGTCCAACTCCCAACCTGCCCTGCCTTTCCCCCCACTGCCCTTCCATCCATCCCTTCCCTACCCTCCCTTCCCCCTTATCATGCCATAAGTTACCCCCTGCTAGCCGTCCATTCCCTCTCATTGCCTCCATTCCCTCCATTCCCTCCATTCCCTCTCATTGCCTCCATTCCCTCCATTCCCTCCATTCTCTCCATTCCCAATCATTGCCTCCATTCCCCCCATTCCTTGCGTTTCCACCCTACTAGCCCTCCCTTCCCCGTCATCATGTCCTCAGTATACCCCCTGCTAGGCCTCCCTCCCCCCTCATCATGCAAACAGTTTCCCCCTGCAAGCCCTCCCTTCCCCGTCATTATGCCATCGCTAGCCAGCCCTCTTCCATGCGGCGGGCTCGCCTCAACACATGGGCGGGCCCACCGTAATCAAAAGGGCTGGCCAGCCCTCACCCATGCAATGGGATCACCCCATTTGAAGATTAAAATGAATAGGTTTACTAATGATCGATTTGGGTGCATGGTGTGCAGAATGGGTCGTCTGAGAAAGATCTCCCCCACAACACCCGAGCCCCTCCGAAGCGGAGGCGCACCAATGAAGGACAACCCTCCACCGCCTCACGATCCTTGCTTAGTAAGTCAATGGGGGTGCATTTGGACTTTATTGGAGGGCCCGTAACACTTACTAATATTACACATGCACATGTATACTAGCTGATTGCAGGAGCCTTGACAAATGTGCAATGACGTCAACACGAACGAATCATTCAAGGGTTGCCATCCGTGTGTGAATTTGTTATCTCAAAGTGTGTTGATGCTTACACGCTTCGATATGCAATGTTACTGGAACCTCCTGCGTGGTAAATCCCGTCTCCCTCTGCTGGTATGTTCTTCCCAGTTGCAAAGGAAGCAGCTACTCTGCTGGTGCACGTACCCTCCTCCATCCGTCCTGCTCATCTAGCTGTCAGTCAACCATCACATCTCGCCCCATTCCATGCTAACGCAACCTACACCACCACGCTCCACCCCACTCCACCCCATCCCACCCCGTCGTATCATCAGGTACGAGGCGTTCTGGCCCGTGGCAGGTGGGGAGGTGGCAGTGGAGATGGAGATACCGCCCTGCGAATGGGAGGTGCTGCTAAAACCCTAAAACTGTGCAGTCGCCCTCTCCTGGTAAGCGTCACGTCTCTGTGATTGGATCCGCCAGGATGGTGGAGCTGGTGGCATGGGGGGACTGCGCGAGTGGTGATGGCGTGGATGCGAATTCAGCGTAGGTTGTGAAAATCATTCAATATCTGTAAAGTACAAGTTCCTCCTGGCAGCGTCCCGCAACATTGTACTACCCAACAATCAGCTGGCGTGCAGGACACCAGCGACGACCCCCTTATGCGGGTGGTCAGTGAGTTAGGCGGGTGGTCAGTGAGTTAGGCGGGTGGTCAGTGAGTTAGGCGGGTGGCGCCTTCCTCCTCCTCTTCATCCTCTTCCACCTCCTCTGCTAGTGTTCTCACAGTGCTGGCTGCGAGGGCAGGATTCGAATCAGCTGGTGAGAGACCGTATGCCATGCCATGCCATGCTGTATGCCGTGGTGCTTGCTTGACATTCTTGTCTTCCTCACATTCGTGCTCTTCCTCCGATTTCCTTCTGTCCATCACCCTCATTGCATTCCCTTGTTGTACACATTGAGCACAGGTGGCAGCAAGGCCGTGAGTTTGCATCATTCAGCCGGCAGCCATGGCCATGTCCTATGCATTGGCGCGCAACATAGCTTGCCTGGTGCTGGAGGTGGTGTACCTGGTGGGGTTGCTGTGGAACGTGTGTGGCAAGCTGGCGAAGATGGGGGACCATGCTGCCGTGAGCTACTTTGGCCTCGCGTGGAACTAGGTAGATTTGCTCTCACTCTCCCTGCAAGCACCCGCCGCTGTCATCTGGTGAGGGGACAGTGGTGCACGTTCTGTCAGTGGAGATCTCGTTCAGTCGATGCATTGGGTGCGCGTTTTCTGACCCTGCCGCATTGTTGCATCACTCCTCCTTGTGCGCACCTGTTGGTGCTCCTTCCCACCCCTACGTCAACCCGTCAAGCACTGTCCTCCCCACCTCTCAGCTTCTGCATGTCTCTTCACCCTCCTCCCCTTTCTTTTCTCCCCGTCTCTGCCTCTTTTCCCTTCCCCCAACCCTATAGGTGCTACTGGTGGTGACGGTGCTTCAGGTGGTTGTGCTGGTCTCGGTGATAACCCTCTCTGAACTCCTTGTTCCCGCCCCATCATACCGGCACCTGAACCTAGTACATTGCCGTACTAATATATTGCCAACCCAATAGTTATCATCAACCCTGGATTCCTCGGTACCGATCACGTTGCTACTCATATGCCCGAGCACGAATGCCCTCATTGCAAAATCTATGTTGTCAGGCACTTCCCATTCTCTTTCAAACCAATCAATGTCAGCCTGGCTGCAATTTTTGTAGCCTTCTCCCGATGGCTCAGGATACAGCGAACCTATAACCACATAGACCAACCAAGGCAAAGTCACACGGGAGCATGCGTGGCCTCCCAGCAACTCAGAGTATTCAATGTAACAACGAAAACGATGGTTCTTGGGAAGCATCGGATGACGCTGCGCATCCACCGCTGTGTTTTTACCCAAACATACTCGCACGACATCAGTCACGGTTCTGTTATCCACACTACTGATTGCCATGTACGTGTACCCAAGCTCCTTTCGAGCCCACTCCACGAGAACATGGTACTGTTTCGCACGATGTACAGCAAATTCGGAGGGTGACCAACTCTCACTTGCGTAAAAAACCTAGGGGGGCAATCCAAGTGGGTCGTACAACCCTTAGACGGCGAACAGTGCGTACCGTCATCGCCCGAATATAAGACAGAGTTGAACAGTAGACAGGGGTTGTCTATTATACGGGTGTCTCTTATAGACGGGGTAGCCTCAAAAGACACCTATTTGTGTGTAGGGGTTAGGGGCAAATGTATAAGGAGGGGGTATCTTCTAAACCGATTTTTGTCCATATATAAGACTTATTTATTTACTTTATGAGATAAGATATATACGTCTTATATCCGGGCGATGACGGTATTGGGTGTGACGTGCTAGCAATCACTGAACCCCTGGACACAGAGATGCCGCAAGTATCTGTACGCGATTCAGTCCTGCTATCCCCCTGTCGCCGCTCTCCTTCCTCATCTTCATCCTCCTCATCCTCAATAATACCAACTCTAATACCAAGCGTCAACCGTTGCCGGCGCCCACGTTGGCGCGAGAACATCTTTGATATCTGGCGGGGAACAGGCAGAAGGGAGTAGGGAAGTTTGTGAAGTGAGTAGGTAAACGAACCGGCAGTGTGCGCATGGATAGGAGGGGCTGGAAGGGGATGGGAGGTGCTGGAAGGGGATGGGAGGGGCTGGAAGGGGATGGGAGGTGCTGGAAGGGGATGGGAGGGGCTGGAAGGGGATGGGAGGTGCTGGAAGGGGATGGGAGGGGCTGGAAGGGGATGGGAGGGTCTGGAAGGGGATGGGAGGGTCTGGAAGGGGATGGGAGGGGCTGGAAGGGGATGGGAGGGGCTGGAAGGGGATGGGAGTGGCTGGAAGGGGATGGGAGGGTCTGGAAGGGCATGGGAGGGTCTGGAAGGGGATGGGAGGGTCTGGACGGTGATGAGAGGTTCGGCTTGCCCCTACGAGCAGGACAAAGAGTGGCCCAGTGAGAAAGGAGTGGATGGGAGGGACGAAAGGTCGAAGGCACAGAGAGGTGTTGGGAGGCATGAAGGGGAGATGGGAAGGCAGAGAAAGGAGGTGGGACACATGAAAGGGGGAGGGGCATGCAGGGAAAGGTGGTGGGAGGCATGAAGGCGGGCTGAGAAGGAAGGGAAAGGTGGTGTGAGGCATGAAGGGGAGACGGGAAGGCAGGTTGAGGTGGTGGGAGGCCAAAAGCGAGCAAAGGGAGATGGGGTAAGGGGGGAGAGAAGAACGGGAAGGGAGAATAGGGAGAGAAGGGAGGGATTGGAGGGAAAGGAGAGAAGGGGAGGGAAAGGAGGGAAGGGAGAGAAGGGAGGGACGGGAGGGATGGGAGTGAAGGGAGAGAAAGGAGAGAAGGGAGAGACAGGAGATTGCAAGGAGGGATGAGAGGGAAGGGATAGAAGGTAAGGGGGGAGAGAAGGGCGGGAAGGGAGAAGGGAGGGAAGTGAGAAAGGGGGGGAAGGGAGGGAAGGAGGGAGGGAGGGAAGGAGGGAAGGGAGGGAAGGGAGGGAAGGGAGGGAAGGGAGGGAAAGGAGAGATGGGAGAGCAGGGAGAGAAGGGAGGGAAGGGGGAAAGGGAGGGAAGGGAGAGAAGGGAGAGAAGGGAGGGATTGGAGGGAAAGGAGGGAGTGGAGGGAAGGGAGGGAAGGGAGAGAAGGGAGGGAAAGGAGGGAAGGAGGGAAGGGGGAAAGGGCGGGAAGGGAGAGACGGGAGAGAAGGGAAAGGAGGGAAGGGAGAGAAGAGAGGGAAGGGAGAGAAGGGAGGGAAGGGAGAGGAGGGAGGGATGGGAGAGAAGGGAGGGAAGGGAGAGAAGAGAGGGATGGGAGAGAAGGGAGGGAAGGTAGAGAAGGGAGGGAAGGGAGAGAAGGGAGGGATTGGAGGGAAAGGAGTCGGGGGAGGGAAGGGTGGGAAGGGAGAGAAGGGAGGGAAGGGAGAGAAGGGAGGGAAGGGAGAGCAGGGAGGGAAGGGAGAGAAGGGAGGGAAGGGAGAGAAGGGAGGGAAAAGAGAGATGGGAGAGCAGGGAGAGAAGGGAGGGAAGGGAGCAAAGGAGGGAAGGGAGAGAAGGGAGAGAAGAGAGGGATTGGAGGGAAAGGAGGGAAAGGAGGGAGGGGAGGGAGGGGAGGGAAGGGAGAGAAGGGAGGGAAGGGAGGGAAAGAGGGAAGGGGGACAGGGAGGGGAGGGGGAGCCGGGAGAGAAGGGAGGGAAGGGAGAGCAAGGAGGGAAGGGAAAGAAGGGAGGGAAGGGAGAGAAGGGAGTGAAGGGAGAGAAGGGAGGGAAGGAAGAGAAGGGAGAGAAGGGAGAGAAGGGAGGGAAGGGAGAGAAGGGAGGGAAGGGAGAGAAGGGAGGGAAGGGAGAGAAGGGAGGGAAGGGAGAGAAGGGAGGGACAGATATTCGGGCGACGGAAAAGGGAATAGGGAGGCAGGAAGGCATGTCTGGCGACGGGAAATGGGAATCGGGCGGCGGGAAGGTGCATCGGGCGGCGAGAAAGGGGAAGCGGGCGGCGGGAACGGGAGTCGGGTGGCGGGATCTGGAACTTGGCAGCGCAAAAGGGGAAGTGGGCGGCGCGAAAGGGGAATCGGGCGGCGGGAGCGTAGTTAGTTCATTTAATTTTGTAGGCAAGTCAAATATCTTCATTTCATTTTGTAGGCAGGTCAAATATCTGCATATTTATTTTATTTGAACATATTGACCTGCCTTGTGGCATCTTTTTCTCAAAGGTTTGGACTATAACGCCGCCCGAGTTTGCCAGTTCTTGTTCAGTGTCTGTCTCTTACCTAGCCTAAGGGGTGTGTCAAACTATGAGGTACTATATAGTTAGTAAAACATTGTAGATATGAACTCTGTATGCCCTTGTGTCATCCATTCTGCTAAGTAAATCTTCTAACACCCCCAACCCACCACTTCCTCTTGGCTATCCTCCAGCCCACACTGCTTCTTCCCTCTCCTCTGCCCACGTGTCCCTCTCACCCCTCCCCACAGCCCACTTGCTACTCTCTGGCCACTCGGCCCAGCCCACCTGCTACTCTCTGGCCCCTCCCCCTAGCCCAACTGCTTCTCTCGCCACTCCCATCCCAACACGAACCATGTTACATTTGGTACCATGTACCAAGGTGTCAAACATTATACATATCTGTAGGCTACATAGGGGTACTCATTAGAGAGTATAAACCTTTAGGGTTTCTACTTGAAATCTCAACCACCTTAGTCAACCACCATAGTCTTTATCTTCTCATCATGGTATAGAGCACGTTTGATCCTTAGGACCGCCCGTTTAGGGACCGATTTTTTTTTTTTTTTTTTTTTTTTCATGCCTGCCCTTACTGCTGCCCCTTCCGCTGCCCGTGGCGCGCACCTCTAGCGCGCCGTTTTCTCCTGCCCGCCGCGCGCCCTTAAAGCGCGCGTCATTGTTGCCCGTCGCACGATCCCCTACCCTGCGCGTTGCGTGCCATAGCTGCCCCGCGCGTCGTGCGCCACCGCTGCCCCACACGCGCGCCATCTCTGCCCCGCGCGCCGTGGACGCCTCTGTCCACTACGTCGCTGCTGCTGCGCGCTGCTGCCCGCCGAGCCGCGCCTATGTGCTGCCCTGCCGCGCTTCCCCGCTGCCCTGCTGCACTCGCGCTCTGCCCTACTGCACGTTGCCTTGCGTCCGCTATTGCACTGCCGCTCGCACTGCTGCCTACACTGCTTAGTGCTGCAGCCCGCCATGCAGCGTACCGTCCTGCGTGCTACCATCCTGCCGCTGCCCTGTGTTGCTACGCTCCCTCGTAGCCCGCAGCCCGCTGCCTTATCTACCGTTGCCTGCACTGCAGCCTGGCCGCTTGCACTGCCTATGCTGCTTCGTCCCTGCTGCCCTGAGCTGTTGCGCCCCACCGAGCTGCCCCGCAGTGCCGCTCTGCCTATCCGCGCCGCTCGGGCCCAAAACTATCTTTAATTCCTAGCACTATACCTTTTTCTTCACGGTCGCTAGGCTGCACTGCTCACAATGGCGACTTGTAATGTCCTTGAGTTTGACGCCGAGGGTAGCCCTGTTGATTACGATTCGTGGCTTGAGGGGCTTCACCTGTACCTGCTTAGCGTTACCCGCAACGACGTCTCTCTCTTTGAGCACACCTCAGGCTCCCTCCCAGCCCCTCCCACTCTGACCAAGCCTGCTCTTACTGCGTCGACAGAAGCACAGCAGAAGTACAAAGCTGACCGCATAGCTAGTACTTAGTGGTTAGCACGCGACGCCACTGCCGTGCTTGCAGTTCGCAGCCACCTCCCGCCCGACCAGCGCACCCAATTTTGCCAGCTGAAAACTGCTAAGGATCTTTATGACCCTGTAATAAAGCGTTATTCCTCTCCCTCCTCTGCCTCTGTAGGCCACCTGCTACTGCCTTTCCAGAGCTGTTAGAGTTCACCACTATCGCTGACCTCATGACCCACCTGCGCACCAGTGACCTTTGCTACCATGCTGCTCTCAAGCCAGAGTTTCTGGCTAAGAACCCTCCCCTCAAGCTCTACTTCCTAGTGACCCGTCTCCATGACTCCCTTCGCCCCATCCGAGACCACTTCCTTTCTCTCGACCTTACCGAGCTCACCCTAGCCTCGTTTGAGTCACGACTCTTGGAGGGTGACACCAGTGCCTACACTGTAGCTGCCTCCTGTGGTACTCCTCGCACCTCCTTCTTTGAGGGGTGTGCTCCTTCCCTACTTGCACCCTCTGTCACCTCTGCTGCTGCCGTTGACTTCCTCGGTGCTTACGTAGCCGGTGCGGCGCCCGCTCTTAGCGGGAGGCGCAACAAGGGTGTGCGTCTGAAGGGCAAAGGTCGTGGGGGTGGCGGCAGGGATGGCAGTGGCAGGGACAGTAGTGGTGGCGGTAGTGGAGGTGGTGGAGGTGGTGGTGGCCGGGGTGGTGGGGGTGGCGGGGGTTACGGGAGTGGCGGGGGCGGTGGCGGCACTTCGGGTGGCGGAGGCGGCTCTGTTATGTGATGCTATCACTTGCATTCACGTCTGTCAGCCTCCCATCACACGTTTGTATGTTGCATGCGTGGTGTGAGCGTGTGCAAGAATTGTTGATTCGTGTGGTTTGGTTTTTCTGAGTGTGTGAATGTTATTTGGTTTCAGCAGATACCTGAAGTGATTCCTCTACTCAACAACGAACCAAGTATCGCTTCAATCGGAGCACGAACAAGAAAGTTACGAACATTTGAAGTTCGTATGCTTATGATATTTGGTTGTGATGACTATGGGAAGTTGTGGGGTTGACTCCATAAGGGGTACAGAATTTTGGGGGTTGGGAAATTCGTCCCCATTACTGTAGATGCTGCCAATTGGTTGGGACAAGCCAAATCAGGTTAGCAAGTGTGGCCAACTTGGGTAAGGTGGATTGTGGAGGTTGGGAAAGTGACAAAGGTCAAAGTTGGGGTTGCCTAGAGAGAGAGGAATTGTGTGGCATGGGGTTTCCTTGGTTGGGGACTCCCGTGGGACCTTCCCTCTCGTCCTCTTCATCTCCTCCTACCTGGTTTCTAGCTACTCCAACTTTCTTGTGTGAAATGGTGAGACAATTGTGATTGAGTTAAGATTCTATAGCAGCTTACCCCCTAGTGCGCCGAAATTGATAACTAAAGAAATACTTCATCTTTTTGTACGATTCAACTTTGGAATTGTAGCCACGGACTAGAGCTAAAAAAGATCTGAATTTAATGAAGTTGTGACAGTGCAATTTTCGTCGACGGCGTTTTTTGTGAACTCGATATTTCTGTCCAGAAACTAGGCCAAACCATTTTGAGATATTTAGGCCCTTAATTTTCGTACACCTCGTCATTAGTCCCCTAAAAGGCTCAAATGGCAGTCATGGCAGAGCCAGCGGGGGTGGAGGCCAGGGAGTCTCGTCTGGGCGCACAGCTAGTGTAGGCGGAGGTTCTGGGGGTGGACAGCAGCAGCAGTCGCGTCGGCAGGATACCCTCTCGCCGTAGCAGCTACGTGACTCGGTGGTCCAACGAGGTGGCCCCGGAGGAGGAGGTCGTTGTACCTACGTCTGACGCACGGGGCCCCGCGCAGGAGACGTCTACAGCAAGGCAGGCCATGTCGAGGCTCGAAAATGCTTTTCGCGAGTTTGGTGAGAAGACCGAGACGCCTAACAGGTTAGGATTGCTAAAAAAGAACATTGATGTATTTGCTCTTGATTGGGACCAGATCCTTGCTGGCATGCTTGCTATGTATGTTGCGGCTGCTAATAGTGTTGAGAGTGACTATAACTCGAGTGTGCCTAGCTCTGGTGATATAGAGGCTGTTAGTCTAGGTGCTTATGAGTCTGCTAGCACAAGTGCAGCTCCGTTGGAGGCTTTGCTCACCTTCACGCTAGACTCAGGAGCGTCTCGCTGCTTCTTCCGCGACCGCACCGTAGTCACACCACTCACCACATGCGTCCCTGTCACTCTGGCCGACCCCTCCTCTGGCCCAGTGGGGGAGACGGTAGGGCAATACGATGTGGAACAGAGGAAGGACAAAGTACCATAAAGTGTGTGCCGGGAACAGACGGAGGACGAACATGACGAGCCTGACAAACAGTGCAAACAGGGGAGGCAGGATGTGACGCAGGCTCACGACGCTCTGTCAGAGGGTCTATCAGCTCAGTGTAGGGAGAAGGAGCAGGTTGTGGGGAGTCAGGCGTTAACTGTGGCTGTGGATCGTCAGGCGGAGGATTGAGTAGGGTAAGAGTAAGGCCGGTGGAAGACAAAAGAATGAGAACCTAGGAAGCACCGAGCCAGGTGGTTGGTGGTAGCGACGACTCCGGGTGAGGCCAGAAGAACGATCGCCGCTGCACAGGCTGCGTAGCACCCCCACCAGTAGAACCTCTAGGAGCCCTGGCTCAAGTACCTCCAGCACCACCAGCAAGAGTGCCTCCAACTGCAGCATCTCCAGCAACAGCTATCCCAACCCCAGAACCTCTAGTACCAGAACCCCCTGTGAGAGGTCGACTAGTGATCCCCGATTGATCCTAGGGAAGGGTTATAGGCTCGTTGTCCTAGGGGGTTATGGGCGCACTGACCCGCTTCTCAACAAGCCCTTTTATCCCAATGGTCTAGTGGTCGGGATTCTGACATGGTATCAGAGCAAAGGTCTCGGGTTCGAATCCAAGTGTGTGCACTTCGGGCATCCCAGCGCGGGGGGGTGTCAGAGGTCCACTAGTGATCCTCGATTGATCCTAGAGAAGATTTATAGGCTCGTTGTCCTAAGTGGTTATGGGCGCACTAACCCGCTACTTAATAAGCCATTTTATCTGAATGGTCTAGTGGTTGGGATTCTGACACCCTCAGCACCTCCAGTTCCTGTATCTCCAGGTCGTGTGCCTCCGGCTCCACTACCTCCAGCACCAGCAGCCTCAGCACCTCTTGCTCCAGTACATCCAGCGCCTCCAGCTCCAGAGTCGGCGATTGCCTGCTCAGTACCTCCAGTGGCAGCACCCCTACCCTCAGCACCCCCACCCTC